GTTTTAGATCAAGATAAAAGGAAAATACAAAGTTTGGGTTTCAGATCCCTTCCCTAATAAATTTACTTCCTAAAAATTCTTCAAAATTCCAATTGGTAAGTTGATCAATTAGTTTTTCTTTTTTTGAATTATTATAATTAGAGGGATTAAAAATAAGATTTTTAAAATTTAAATTTTAAAGTTTTTATTTTAACCTGTGTTTCAAAGAAATTGTGGTAATTAATCCTGCAATGATGGTTGGCGATTAGTGGAACTAGTTAAATTAAGAAGAACACCAAAATTATTCCAAGCTAAGTAGGCACTTTTGTTTTCTCGTAGGCTCTTGGTAGGAATTGCTCTTACCTATGGTTTCCTCGGCCTTTGACAAACACATCCTCCAACCTAATGAAACCAAATATTTGGCAGGTCTGTGATCATGAAAAAGAAAAAAGAAAAAAAAAGAAATACACAAACAATAGGCAGGTCACATTATACTAATGAAACCTAACTACTTTATTTACAGAAACAAGGTTCTTCTGTTTAGGTAGTTTCACGAACTCGTACTATTGAGATCACGAACCGCTTTAACACCTGAAAAGTTTGAGAATGTTTTTTTGAGAAGATAATATGACACTCAAATTAATAATACTCTATAATTTAGATAGAGTTACTCTAAAAAAGAGTTATTACAAAGAGAAAAGCATAATAAAATTATTACTTTACATAGAGATGATTGGGAATATTTATAGATCCCATTGATGACCCTACTGTCACGTGTCATTACTGTATTAATACATTTATCCTGCATCATGTGAGTGTCTCATGATTGTTTTACCTACACATTTGGGCTTCATATGACTTTTTGAGTCTAGTTATTGATGTTGGGCCTGTTCCCAACATTCCAAATGTGAATGTCATAACATTACCGTATCTGTTTTAAAATAGGTTTTTATTAAGGAATTTGTTTAAGGTAAGAATATAAATAAGCGTATAATAAATATATATTTTTTATAATTAATTTAGCATAATCAAACGTGAGATGGGGA